GAGGACACGTAGGTGGAGGTTGTGCGGCGGCGTTGCGGACTGGGCGAAGTTGTGATTTGCGGGCTTCGCGCTTCGCTTTGGCGGCTGCACATGCCACCACATAACTGACACCTTGGGTTAAGTGCATATTGATTTTTTGTGACCGGTATTTATCACCGGGCGCAGGAGTCCCCCGTCAGAATCTGGGAGATGCGGGGCCATGTAACCATTGATGTCTGGGACAGCGCATAGTAGAATGTTTCTAAAGGGGCGTTGTTTGTCTGTCAGTTTTTGCCTCTATGATTCGACTGAAAAGTCCTGTGAATGAGAAGTATAGGGATGCTTGAGAAAGAGGTCTGTCTGATCAGTGGCCGCTCTACTGCTAAAATCTGTTTAGTCCTTGCACTGATAAAGAGTCTTTGGAGTCATGCTGTCAGGGTCCAGGTTATTATCTGCAAATTACTTATTGTCGGAGTTGTCAGAGTTGAATTCCCGAGTTCCTTTTTATTATATGCTATGCTCAATGAACATAAGAAAAACATAGGTTCACCAGAATAGGTTTATTTGGCGCTAACGGTTCGAAGAGCTTGGTCGGCTCTCCATTTGCAAATTTCAGGTGTCACGTCGCGTTGGTCGGCCTCATGCGGATCGATTACTCTCTTTTATCGCTGCCTCGGACTGTCAGAGATGGTTGTCCGGCGTTTTATCCATGGGCTTTGTGAGCTACCACTTCATCGGGGAAGGTAATTTAACCTTTGTGGGGTGATCGGTCTGTTGGTTCTTCTTCCTCTCCGAGTAGACTCGCCGTCGGCGATAATTGGTGGTACATTGTGCATACTAAGTGGTCTGTCCGTTGAAGATCTACTTCAATAATTAGGCCTGACGGACGGGAGCCCATATAAGTACCCTTAATTTATTCGTACCACCAATTTGTTTGTCCACCAATTAATTTGTCCACCAAAGGTGAAATAGGTTTTGAAGCTGTGTTGTAGAACCTCGAGCAGATAATCAGACTCCTTGTAGCGCTCAGCTAGCAGTTGGTTAAAAACGTCTATCGTTAGCTGCTGTGGAATGGAGATGAAGAGGGAAACGAAATCAGAGGATACCGTGGATTCGTCTGGTTCTAACTTCAGGTATTATACGCGTTCGAGGGATTGGTTCGCAGACGCTACAGTTATTGGTGTGCAATCGGCCAAAAACCTCAGATTACCGAACATCCATTTTGCCAAACCATACGTCCGAGTGCGACGGTTGGAAATGATTGGCCTCGCTGGTACTCCGATGCCAACTCCATTAACAGCTATCTGGACCTTTCTGCAGCCTATAAAACCTTACGTCCTCGCCTCCGTATAGTTCTGGACCAAACAACCACATTGGACAGGCCGACGGCGAGTCCACTCGGCGAGGAAGTAAAACCAAGAGACCGACCACCCTACAAAGGCTTAGTCATCTTCTCCCCGAAACGGTGACTCAAAAAGCACGCGGATAAAACGCCCGCCAACCATCCCTGAGGGGTCGAAACGTCGAGAGAAGAGAGAAATCGATCAGCGCGAAGCCGGACAGCGCGACGTGCCACATGAAATTTCTGGTCGATTAAGTTTATTTCACGCTTCGACGACGAGGAACTGACCAAGCTCCTCGAAATGTCAGCGCCTAAATAAACCCGTTCCGGTGGGACCATCTTTTTCAAATCATCAACCTGTATCCCTTAACTTTGCAAATCTGAACCTGGTAAACAAATCACCTGGCAAATCGACTAACTATTTCCTGACGCTCAATCCAACTCTAAGAGTAAATTCAATCTTTACGTTAGAATTCTGTATTAATTATAATAAAATTCTACCAAATTTTCTTCCTTTAGCATCAAATTGAACCTCTTGTCTTCCCGGTATTATCTCGTGTGCAGATGCAGTTCGCATGGGTTAAACTCTTTCGTTTTGACGAGTCCTTCTCATATTGCATACGCATATCCATTGGTTTAATGCGGCTAGCTAAGTGCATTTGAAAGACACTTCATTTTGCCTCTTACAATCACGCATCAACATTACTAAAAAAAAGCGTAAGCGCACACCGAAATCGACCTTCAACCTATATTATGATTAGTTAAGTAGTTTTACGTGCGAATAATCGAGTTTGCTAATCCGCCTGGACTCCTTTGCTCAGATCCGCCGCCTTTGGTTTCAGTCCCTACTCCATTTCTGGAAGTGCGACTTCCCTTGACATGTTACCGGATATAGTGGCACTGACTCTGGAATCTGTAGTTCTGACTCTAATGCTTTCATTTTCACTAGAATGTGCGCAGCCTTCTGCAATCCTCAAACGATGCTGAGCAGGCAGACAGAATTAGAGCAGATGTGTTAAGCGTACAGCAAGCCTTTGACAGTGTAAGGACGTGGTTTCCACAAATATAATTTAAACAGGTCGATCGAAAACTTCCTGGATTCACTCAGGATTTCCTCAGGGGTTTCATGGAACGCTTTGGATTCAAGACCGTTCTGGACGTGGAAGAAATGACTTTGCGGCTGTCCTCGATGGATGTGGAAAGTAAGGCATACATACTCTGATATCCTTTTAAGTTCCACACTACCTTTCAAGCGTTCCTCACTGCCAAGTACTAGAGAAAAATGCGGCTGATTTAAAACATGTTCTAAGCCGAATCCCTACCGAGATTGGTCATCGAAATGAATTCATTGCGCTCATAAAGTAAGAATTTTCCCCCTAATGGCCCATCTTTAGACAAATTGCTAATGCCATTAAAAACCTCTTGGACTGCATTAATCTTATTCTCAATGCACTCACACCTGGGGTGACCAAACAAGGACTTGATGAGCACATGCGTAATTTCGTCGAATACTCTCGAAAGTTTAGTAGTGCCCTAAAGAAGTTCTTCCGCGATCATGGGTACGTTTTTAGTATTCGAAGTTATTTTTTGACTTGTATCTTGCCTTTGACGTCAACTAAGCGCAAACGTTTGCCAAATGAACAATCAGCCGGGTTAGCGGGTACTTCGTCTGCGTCAGGCAACGATTACCAACCCTTTCAGGGCACGATTGTGGCTACCGCATGATCTTTTCATGGGGGAATAGAACTGCTCAAAGTTTACCCCAGTAATTCTCCTTACGTCGACTATATGCGAATGATAAGACAAGGTAAAAGCGGCCTGAGGTTACCATGGGCGCTGTGGCTAACAAAGTTGAATAGCTCGTTTGTATGTATCGCGCACGACGTGGTCTCTAGCTATAGACTAATTGCAGTTCGAAAAAAAAAAAGTTGCCGGGCAACCTTTAAGTGAACGTCCGGCAACAGGCATATTTAAAAGGGGTCCTTGTGCCGTGCCTCTCAAGTTTTGAGAGCTGAGTTGTCTAGTCAGTTGGACACCTTGAGTATAAGTATTAGATGGACAAGTTTGCATATCCAACTCAGGTGGCAGATTTTTATTGACCCGAGATCGACTCCTTACACGCGACCTCGATGCAGGGCCCCATTTTATCTTCCGTTGGCAAATTGGAGAAGGTGATCGAATAGTGGACTACTCAAAATGCACACAAAGGGTGTTGTGACATGATAACCATTGTTTGCACTACAAATATCGCCTTTGTGTGCTCATAAGGCGCTCTATGGCATCGTAAGTAGCGATGTCTGTGCCCTTTTCTTGAACGCATGGATTTTTAGCGCAAGACAATATTTACATGCGTCGGATGACTACTTCAGAAGCCATTTGATCTTTTTTGTTTCTAAAAACGTCAAGAAACATCCCTTTGTCGTGTTGTCAAACGTTACGTTTCTACCAAGACGAAGGATTCATTCGCCTTCCGGGCCTGGAATTCCGATATTCCCGAAACAGGAGTGAATCGAACCTCTATCGAACTGTTTCTCCTCCGAAACCAGAAATAGAAACAACGTAAACTCCTTTAACCTGATCAAACGGTGCATCACCGAAAATGATGTTTAAAAATCGAACTGACTAGAATAGTTAGGCGGCATTCATTATTCTATCTGAGGAAATTAACCTGAACAGTACAAGACACTGAATGTGGCACACTTCTTCGGCATTCTTAACCCTTTTATATATGCGATTATTTTTGAAAAGCTCAATGATGTATTTGAGCTCAGAAATATAAACGCAAAACTAGATTAATAGGTTTACCAACTCTTATGCCTAGAAACCTTTCAGTGCTACTATAGACCGTGGTTCAGACATCCTTCCGCACTTCGGAAATGCCGTGAGCTTGGGTCAGAAAAGTTATTGAGCTACCGTCGTGCATAGAAACAAGTTAAGCAACTCAGATGCTGTTCCCCGAAGCGATTCGAAGTTTGCCGAAGTCATGAGAGCGTCGCGTAGGTAACTCCCATATGTTTTTAATGGTGACAGGCTTGAATATCGTAGTGCCAGTGTTGTTGTAGGCGCGGTTTACGCAAAGGAGCCCGGAAAGCCCGATGCGAGTCACACGTTGTAAGCCTGAACACTTGAAAATGTTTGCGTCAGAAGCACTACTGGATTTTTCGGTTTTGCGTTTTTGTCGCATCTACCTTGCCTCCTATTATCAGTTGACGTCGAATTCTGTTGCTTCGTTTGCACAGCAGCACTCCATGCCTCAATACTGGGCGGGGATTCATCAAGGCCTTCTCTGACCTTTCATCCCCTGTTTGTAGGCGCTCGTAGTAGTGTCACCGTAGAACGGTCGTTAACGAAGGCACTGAGCTGGCATCCTCATAACGTGACTGCTCTATTAAACTGATTCTTTTGCAACTCCGCAGAGTTGTCGAGCATGCCAGCTAATAACAAGACCGGTCCCCGTTCATATCCACAATCTTGGGAAAATCTAAACACTTGGAAGTTTTTTACTCGTACTCGGTAGATCACCATTAAGCGAGCACTTAATAGGCAAGTGTCGTCAGAACGACGTCTGTATGCATAATCAACTTGACGTTGATCATTTCGCCACCCCACAAAGTCTAGAATTGTTTAGAAATTCCTAACTGTTGTTTCTTCGTTGGTTCCGTATCCTGTTAAGATTGCGTTTCGCGAGTAGAGAAGACAGATCCACAAGTACAAATTTCTGGTCAGTGTTAACCGTAGGTTAAATTTATTTCTCGGTTGGCGCCACTTTTTGCGTGGAATATATTTGACTTTTTCTGACAGCCTTGGTGAGTCCGGAGACAAGGAGGCCCAGGCTACACTACATGTCTACTGCGGTTGTGATGATAAATTCTGTTAGCTAATGTAATTTCGTGCATCGTACCTTTGGGGACCTATTATAGTCGTTTAGGTCCTTTTATCATGGTGAACGTTTGCCAGTATCGTGAAGTCGCCTGGGATGAGTACGTAATCAGGCTTTACCCCGCTTATCATTACAGAGGTTTCCTGTGTCGACCTGTAGATGTTTCTGAGCAATCCCTACCCTATCGACTTCATTATTCTGGCAAACTGAAGGCCTCTGATGACGCCCGCCCTGTTGACCGTTTGTTTCAACAACGCACCCGAGGGCCCATCCAAATTACAATTTTTGTCTTGGGCCAGTAACTGGTATCTCATCCCTTGTGCCTATGGCAAGGGTTACATGCGAAAGCGATCCAAAATCATACATTCGTGTATTTTGGCCAAAGCCAACTCACTTTAGTCCTTGGTCCCTGAGTCAACCAAATGTCCGAAACGAAAATTACTAACCCATCTGCCTTCGAATTAGTTTGCACATCCTTCTGTTCCCCAAACACCCCCGACAACTTCTAAATCTTCATTTGGAGCTTACTTTGCCTTATTGTCACCCTCCATAACTCCCGGCGAACTTTTGTGGAAGTGGGGTGGTCAGGAATTCAGATATTCGGGCTAAGTAGGAAAAGCAAAATTTCCACCCGAACCATTTTGTAGGCGGATGCAGCCTATGGCAGCAACCTCAAGTCTCCCCTGCCGGTCGCAATTTTATCACAGAGTGCTTTTCTCCTCTCGTTCGCCACTGCTTTTTACAAGTTGTTACAAAGTTCCCTAGATCTTTCACGTGATTACAGTTTGTGCTTGCGTCTAAAGACATCCTCTTACTGTTATGGAAAACTGAGACGGTCGTGCTTCAGTGCCTCGTGCGTTTCGTTACTTCCACTTCCCACTGATGGTTTCAGCCGCCAGATTCTGCGATATGAAGTAGAGGGGTCGCGTCTAATTCTGCAAAGGTGTTGTTTGCATTGATTTAAATCCCGCCAAGCTCTTGCAGAAAATACATTAAGTTAAAAGCTATATGGGAATTTCACGTGTCAAATAACCATCTAACCATGTTACATTTGAATGTGTGGCCCAATGACCCAGTGAGCCGCAGGGGCACCGACTATTCCATAGGACTTTGCTATGGCCGTATCTGCCAATGGAATGGCCCAGACTTTAGGCTCGACGTCAGTATCTTTATTGACTGGCCTACGAAATGTATGTGTCATACGAATCATCTGGGGGTTTATTTCCCTTCTTGTCTCACGTACTATATAAAATTTCTTGCATTTCCAGATGTGGTAAGTAGTTATTGTAACTTACTCGACGCTGGACGCCCAGTTTATGGAAACTATTTTAGCAGCATAGTGCTTCATTCATTTATTTTCTTCAATCCGACCACTTATTTTTCGCTAGCTTGACTGTCTCCGTTGTATCACTATTATCTGTCCGATCCTTCAGACGTTTCACCGGTTTGGTGGTCCCCACTCCATGTCTAGATGTTAATTTTGTGCATAACGCGTGAGGAGCCTGTGTGCTTGTGACCGCGAAACCTCGTTATCACAATTTTCGTGCCGTTATCCTGTTTCGGGAAAAGCATTTTCAACAGTGCGCTGCATCTACTCTTTCGTCGTAATTTCACCGTTGCCGTCTTTGAACCAAAAACTGGACTTCAAAATTTCATTGAACCCGTTGCTTCTGCTTTTCTTTGCTATTTCGGTCACTTTCTACTTATACGTATTGTAGATAAGGTCTACTTAGAGATACTTCTGTTATAGAGCATAATTTAGCGTTACATCAAATGGAACAGCATGCTTGCTTTAGGCTGATAATATACGTAACTGCCTGCTTTCGAAAATATCCCCTTTTACTTGGTGTGCGCTTTGTCCATTTCCGATTTTTCCTGGAATGTATTCGCGAAAGTTCTACTTCCTATACTGCTTTCGTAGAAAATGATGTCATGTCCCGGAAAGGGGATATTTCCTTTAATTAAGTAGTAATGCTAATGGTTACTGTGCTGGCCTTATCATAGTAAGCGGAATATACTATTAGCTTATTGTTATTGTTGCTTGCCAAATGATCCACACATTTTCCGCTATCTCGCAAGCGTCAGGTCTTTTTCAAACACTATAATGCAAAGTAGCGTGCTTTCAACTACCACGTATACCACGCAACGGGGAAGCTTTGGAAACCGTTAAAAGGCTGCCTCTTTTAAAGAACGCATGATTTCCTGACTCGAGTTCTTACAAAGAATCTATCAGAGGTTAGATCCTCGGTCGTCTTTTAGCAAGTGTAATAGATTAGTGCTGGCAGTGCGTAGTCTGCATGCCTAATCCGTTATTATTTTCACCTACTTTATCGAAATTAACTGGACAGGATTTCGATCGAAGACCCCTTTGGAATGTTTTGCTTAATTTCTCTCCGATTTTCGCGCCTTTTCAACCGTGGATCCTCTTCCTGTACGATTGTTCAAATGATACTGGTTGCTCGTCACTGTGCGATTGTGCGCAATAACTCTAGGTCGAAGCTTCAAGGCAATGCAAACTCTTGTTCCGTCTTGTGGTCAGGATAAATGGGTAAATGCTAAAGGAGTGGCGTCCACTAGTCCTGGTCTCGGGACAGAATTTATCACCTTCATTTTCTTTTGACTCCTTTTCCTGCTGTCTTTTAGGTCTACCGAGTTGTTCGCAAGCGCCTACATGCTAGTTCAGCAGACCAATCTGATCCTCCTGTTCATACGCAATAAGCGCTGATTCTACACTAGCACCACCCCGATCTCACCCCACTCCCCATTGTCTTATTACTTCCTCGCGAAATACCTGCCCATTCGGTCAGCATTGTTTTTTATCCGGACTTCCACCGTACGTGTTTAAGTTTCCCGTAGGCTTACCTGCCCCTCCGCATCTTAAAACAGTCTCTTTATGCGTACCTGTGATGTAATTTGGATAAACCTTTGGCGCATGCATGTTTTGTATCATTTCTCGTATCCCTCCTTTTATTTTAGCAAAATCAGCCATCTGCTAAGGGGCAGGTGCGTTATCGCAAGTACTTAGGCTTAAGAAAAGTTGAACACAGAACGACTCATCTGTAGGACTAACACGGTCGATGTCGATGTTATTTCTTCGCAAGATCTCCCCGTCTGAGAATTCAGGGATAGGGGCGTCTGTACTCCTGTTTTTTTGCGCACATCACAGAAGATCATATGTAGCCCAATTCCTACGAAACTTGCCATCCGCAGTTTCAAAATCGTCTGCTTCTGTCTACGCCTGGGCGCCCACTCCCGTCCCGGCAGTTATTAGGCTTGCTGTAGCTGTAATCATGCCTAATTTAGCCGGCCCCAATAAGGTTGTGAGCTGTACCTCCACGTGTGACGATCCGCTGCACCGGATCTGGAGAGCTCTACCCATTCTCTCCTCCACAGACGAAGACCGGCTACCGAACGTCCAAGAAACACTTCAATGTCTTGACGAACTGCGTCAAGCAAGGCTCTGAGTCCGACACCGAATTTAGGGTAAAAGAACTCAGTTCATGAGACGGGCGAAGAGGAATGCACCCAAGCCACTTCAGCCGTCTTTCTTGGATGGGCTGACGTATCCCCGCGTTTTTGTCGCAGGGGATGTGGACTGGCCTATTCGAAACCTAGTAACTTTACTCGAAGGCTGGCCCTCAGGCAGTGGCGCTTAAACACCTCCAGCTTTTGCTCATTTACGTGCATAGCCCAGTATTTACAGCTGTACAGGCAGAATGACCGGACGGATGCCAGGCACATGCGGATGTTTGTCGCGTCGGGTACACAGGGCTAGGGAAATGCTGGGATTAGCGTCGATTCGGGCGACGTCCTTCCTCGGTCCATTCAGTGACAGCTGCGCCCCAAGGTATTTTTAACTGTCTACTTCAAGTTGGCAACCGTAAATTCCCAGGGATGCCGTCTCCTGACCAAGGAATCAACTCGAAGACGCTGGTCTTCTCGGCTTTTGTGGATGAACCTACGGACTCAATGACCTCATTCACCGATGAAATAGGCTGTTGATCACCAAAGCTTGAAGCTAGCAGAGTGTAGTGGAGATCAGTCAGCCGGTGTCGGGGTGCCAAGTCATTACCGTCAAAATCTTGTGGGACACTTCCGAGGATCCAGTCAATGGAGTTATTGACCAGGACAGACACCAGGTTAGGACCTTGTCGAACGCCAGATTAAATATTGAATTGTTGGGGCGGAGGGAATTGTTATGAATTAGAACACGCGCAGTGATTGGGCGATAGTAGGTCTCGAGCATGGCAATTTTTGCCGGCATATTATCCATCATATTATCCGCCACACGGCCTCACGATGGACGGACTCGAACGCAACAGCGTGACCAACAAAGTAGACTACCGTCGGTTGCCGGTACCTATGGCAGAATCTGAGAATGCGCCACAGCCGATATCTCGTCCACGCAACCACACGCAGTTCGGGACTCAGCTTGGTTGGAGATCATCCAGTGACGCATACCCAAGATTCGCCTGAAAAGGACAACAGCGAAAACCCTCGCGCCAACGTCGATGGGGCTTGATCTGCGGTAGATTACGCGTTTTGTCTCATCTTGAGGACAGGCAAAATCGTGCCCGAACCCAGGTTATTAGGAGCCATATCTCGCCATGCTTGTCCAATGACTTTATGGTGCCGGAACACCCGGGCGTTGGCTCGGCCTTTAGATTCCAGTAAGAATGCCGCCCTTGCGCATTGATGATTCCTCACCCAGGGGTGGGTGCATATGACTGCACAGGCTGAAGAGGCATGAAATTCCTACGGATGGCGAGAGTGTGATAGGTTACCCATCAAAGCTGAGACGTTGCTGAAGGTGGTCCTATGGGCGTTCGATCTGGACCAACTTGTCAGCAATGAAGCCAGGATTTACCACTAACTTGGCGGATAATTTGGTAGTTCTTGAGCTTCCTCAATGCTTGAGGCCCGTGCAATGGAGGTTGCCACTTCTGCCCAGTGTTTTGATCATCCCTAGCGGTCTTTGCCATCATTTTCCGGAAGTTGCCGAAGGCAGTCGCCGTTGCGGGAGCTGGTTCGAGCCATCTGGGCAGATAACTGCAGTGCTCCTCCGCCGATACGGTCATTGAGACGCCGCCGGATGGATTCATAGATTTTGCGAGCTGCCCCATAGGCAGACGACTTCAGTGCTGATCATTGCGTATGACCTTCTTTAAGTATGGTCGTAAAAAAGACTCGATTTCTGTGTTCAGAACCTCGATGGCTCTTAATTGTCTTCGTTTTGCAACGTCAAGGCATCTTCATGTAGCATCATGGGTGCAGGTTAGAGGTTGACTTTCAGGTTTGTGAGAACGAGAACACGGTCAGACCAATGGGCGTTGCCAGTTCCGGCACGACGCACCGGGTCTGCTATCGTGAATCCTGTTGCACAATCATCGACCAACTAGCATGCATCGATCTGACTCACCGTATTCCCGTAGTTTGAGTGCTAGCAGAGCAGATGTCTGTAACGATGCAGAAAACACTTATTTGCGATAAATAGTCGATTTTGGCCGACAAATTTAATTATTCTCTCACCACTGTCTCATCTAGAACCGTGCCTAAAGCAGCCAATGAGGAGGCAGTTTGGAGAGTCACCGGGTCCAGTCAGGCCATTCCAGCTCCTAGCAACAATCAGCGGGTCAATGTGAGGTAGATTTTTGACTAACCGTTGTAGTTGTGAGTAGGGAAATCCTTTATTGCCTTCGTTGGCTACTGATTTTGGTGTGTGCATAGAGGCGACATGGATGATCGTAAAGTGACCCATGGATCGTACGTAATCCAGCCAGTCATTGGTTCCCATTCAAGCGATGTACGGCTCGCCTGTTGCCAGAGAATAATCGCCACACTGTCTACCAGAAGAGTCGGGCTCTTTATTTCCCGAACGCCTGAGTCGGAGATTCGGACTTCAGACAGGCAACAGACATCCGCTTCGTACCGACGGGGACTGCGCGTTGTCAGATTTAGGTACATGGTCCAGGGAAATCCCCATATTCCAGCATCCATTATCAAGAACCCGTTCCAGATTTAGTGGTCCAGTTGGCATATTATTCGCCTGCACCACTGCGCCATGATTGCGGAGCGCTTCGGGTTCTACGGACGTAATAATTGATTTGAATATTCCACGCGTTTATTGGGGATTTTAAGCGCGGGTGCGTACCAATCAGTCACTCGAATTGTTTGTCTGAGGTTGTCTCCTCTAGCATTTGATTCTTTAACCTAACCACAAGACAACGGTGGCAAGTTAACTTACCTAATGACGGTTCACGACCTCCATGTGACAATGCGGTCACTGGGCTTTGTGGCATTTTATAAGGCAGTCGGCGTAGCAGACCTCAGCCCTGCGTGCCCTGGTAGCATTTTCGCTGCTGCCCCTCTACTGCCTATTCACCAGACCCGGAAGCCTGCGTATTTCGCATCCGACTTTCGCTGAAGACCGTTTCACCATCCGCCACCTGTGAGTGCGCAATCTAACCTGCCACCTGGCTAGCTTTTTAGTTTGTCCCGGATTGAACTGTTTACCTTTCCGAGATATCTTTTGACGAATTATTCACACATAACCCATCAATGTAGGGTACGACACACTAGAATTGCTATTTTTGCCCTAGTTTCTCCTTTGCTTCTTTTAATTTTCTCGGAAAATATCATTTCCTCTGACGATGAACGACCTCGTTATTCTTGGTAACGTCTGTGTGCGGACGCGCAAATAGCACACATTCGCCGGAGCAGGAGTGCTTACACCGAACACAGTCTCCTAGTCTTGAACACCAGCTTCTGTTCCGTAAATACGAAAGCAGCATTCCTTTACCCATTCTCGTGCTATTTGTACTTGCTACATTAAGTGGGCATACGTGGTAGACAGCAGTGGCCATTTGCGACGGGAATGTGGGACCGACCCCTTTCGACTTAAGTCCAGGACGAAATTGCTGATCCAGCCACAGAGACGTTCCCAATGTAAACCGAGCAAACTACGGGTGAACGAGTGGATACTGATGAAAAATAATTTCACGAACCCAAATGTTGTGGATGTTTGGATGTCGAGAACATCTAGAGCACGCCAGCAGACACGGACCGCCGTACTGTTACGGAGGTATGGAAAAGTGCGGCTTGATGAAACTGCAACCAGTTTGACGAGAACGGCACAGAAAATCGTCATTCAGCAGATGGAATATAAATTAATCAAACCGGAGAACAGAAATATGTTCGTAATGCGTAGATGACGGCGGAGCAGGATATCGGAGTTTGAATGCCGAAGCACTTCCAGGATTGACCTGTCGCAACAAAATAAAGTACTTATCCCTGCCATGCAGAATGCATGAGAAGGTGGAACGTCAGGCAAATAGGGGTTTTGGACCGCAGAACAGAACAAGCTTTTAAGCGCTCGGTCATACATCTACAGTGTTCTGACATGCAACCAGCCAACCTTCGCAACCCGGCTTCTAGGGTTGAGCCTGAGGGAAAAGTTAAGACCGTTTCAACAGCTATTAAGTGGTGTTTTACTACATTTGAAAAATTCATCAAGTCTAATTATGGAAAACCCGGTGAGATTCAAACCCATGACAGTAATGGCAAGGCCTAGGTTTTTTTACATTTGGACCCTGTAAATAGTTTGAATCTGCCAAAAACACCTTTCTTAAAGTGAGCCTTGTAGTCCTCTGGTGGATTCTAAATCGACTGCCTACGAAATCTGGCATGGATAATGAGCTTACAGTATCAGAATTGGTGGATTCCATA